GGGAAGGCGTCGGCTTGATCAGTACACACACAGGATTTTATGGTATGAGATCTTGGGATTTTTGTATGACATGAATTGTATTTCAAACATGTGTGTTTTTATGAATATTAAATGAATTATGTTTTTATAAAATGCGAAAAATTGTTTTGAAATTTACGGTGTTACACCTGTCTAACCATTTGCCAATGCCATAGAATAGAAGTCATTCTCTTACGGAGACATGCTCTACATGGCCAGAGGCTACGTACCAGTACCAATGGGAATCTAAGTCCTTTGACTGATCACATGGTCAAAGGTATTACAATTGCTATAAACATAGCGAATAACACGAGAAAATAACTCAGAATAATAACAGTGAAAAGCACATAGCACATATAACACATAACATACAATTGTTCCTATATATTGAACTCACCTTAAGTTAACTGAGGGTTAAAATAGTAATTTGGACAACACTGCAGCTTTAAATATGTCTTTCTATGTTGAAAACCGGGAGCTTAATTGAAAACCGGGCTCTACGAAGGTAGGGCTTCAAAACTGAAAAGATCTGAGTGAACCGGACTACGACGCATGTCGGACACGAGGCACGATCTTGCGAGGGTGACGAAGCTGCTTCGTGCGAGTGACGTGTCCGAACACTGTTCATGCGAAAATTCTCGGTTTTCGGGCCCCGAACTTCTAAAATCCATAACTTTCGCATACGAGCTCCGTTTTTTACGTTCTTTATATGGACGCATAGCTAAAATTACTCTCTACAACTTTCATTTAGACTTCGTCGGCTAATTTTGAATTTATTTTTAATATTATTATTTTTAACAGATCGGGACAGGAATATCCATTAAAAATTCATAACTTCTTCATCCGACATCCGTTTTCGTCAGACTTTTTACTGTTGTACTACAAATGACGAGAGCTTCAATTCTCGTTTAGGATGTATCGGTCAAATATCGCTCGATCTAAAATTCGAGTTTTTAGGTGTCTACTGCTAAGTTGAAACTTCGAAAAATCATAACTTCCTCATACGAAGTCAGTTTTTTGCATTCTTTTTATCGAATTTCTCGGTTTAACGAATACTACAACTTTCATTTAGATTACTAAGGTTAAAAAGTAGTTTATCAAAAACTCACTTGTTACGTCATTCGGTGCCGTGCCGGTTTTGTTTCAGATCTTCGGTTGGTCATAACCTTTTCGTTATAACTCGGATTTTGACGAGGCTTTCGCCTACAAGTTTCTAACGATATTCTCTACAACATCAAATAATAAAATTTTACTTATTTAAAATTTTATATTTTCACTAAATTTCACTATTTGGCTTTTAATTGGAATCTCATAAGACTTCCAATATTTTCTGAGTGATTCTAAACATAGTTTTACTTTATTTCTAGTAAAAACCACCTGTTAAAACTCAAAACTCAAATTTTAAATAATATTTCACAATTTTATTCATTACAAAACACGATTTCAAAACGTGTATATTACAAAAACACCCAAAAGCACCATGGAACCAATCAAAATCGTAATTATCACCCAAAATCGATCAAGAACAACCAAATTCGTGTCAATAAGACTTGTAGTCATCACAACAAGTAATCTCTATTAAGCTCATCGAGACCCATTTCATACCCAACTTCAATAATTATTTCCTTAGTTTCACTAAAACTCGTTGTTTTCAAAATTAAAATTTCTTTCCAATAACCATATCAAATTCTCCTCATTTTTATGATTAAAATAAGATCATGAAACCTTTAATTGGTCATAAGAATATGCTCGATTGGATAAATCAATGTTACACTATGCTCGATTGGATAAATCAATGTTACACGCTCACTTGCCAAGTGAAATAAACCATACACTTTGAATCCAAAAAAATCAAAAAACATATGGCAATTTATCAGAATTTTAGTTTTTCGAATCGCCTTTGACTTGAATTGGAGTAAAAAAAATGTAATGCCCACTGGAAATACCCTTGTGAAAATATTGAATCCGATCAACCCGAGATGTTGATCCAAAAATACAAACTTTTGTTATTTTTGTCACGAAATGTCTGACTTATGACTTATGAAAGATAAGGGATCAAAAACGTATTTATCAGTTACATGTAACCCTTTATATTCAGAGGCATCGATGAAGAAATTGATTGAGTCTGAATTTGTTTGATTTTTGTGTCTGATGAACTGATTGTAAGCATGAGCCCCGAACTGAATACGAAGTGATCGACTTCGAAGGAAAGACAAATTCATCCATTGTGAAGCAATCCAAATTTGTTAATAAATTGACACCAAATTTGCTTTAAGCAAGAAGTATCTTGAGTGTTATTCATCATCACAAACCATAACGAAGCGACATTACGAATCAGAATGAATCAAAACCAATTATTCTTCAATTTTAACTGTTTGATAAGGCTTCGTTTCACCATTCTTCTATCCGATTTTACAGATCAAACATTTCACAAAAAAAAAAAAAAATTGTGTTCATGACTGTTTTCGAACCACAAAAATCAGTAATTTTTGAGATAACACAAAGATTCGAATCAAACAACATCAATTTGTGAATCCGACAATATATAACCCAATTTATCAACCGATTCATCAAAATTAATCATTGCCACACCCAATCAAAGTTTCAATATTGTCAATCATACCATCGATTTTTTCAAATTTATCCATAAGATTCCACGATTGATAATTATGAAAAGTTAAAAGTGATTTGCAATCCCAACGAATACACAAGAATAGCTAAATCGATCAAAGAACTAAAAATGTAAATACAGCTTGAGAACTGAAAACATGAGAAAAAAGTAGTTCACTCGATTTAATAAGAAGTAAATTACACAAATGGTCCCTATGGTTTTTGGTAATTTGCATGTTTCGTCTCTAATTTATTTTCTTAACTCGGAAGATACCTAATATCTGTTGTTTGTTTTTGTTACGCGATTGGTCACTATCTTACCTAAAAAGACTATTTTGTTATTGATTTTTAATTTATTTAAATAAACATACCCTCAACCCCACCCTCTTATCTTACCTTATCTATTCCATCATTTTTCCCTATTTAAATAATAGTTTTTTTAGGTAAGACAAAGATCAAGCGCGTAACAAAAACAAACAGTATGGACCAAGCGCGTAACACAAACAAATAATATGGATCTTTCGAACTAAAATAATAAGTTAGGGATTAAGAGTGCAAATTACCCCAAACCATAAGGACCGTTCGTGTAATTTACTCTTTCAATAAGTATAAGATGTGAAGATGTAAAAACAAGAATCAACAAATAACTTGAAACTTTGACTCAATAATGATTTTGAAGAACAATTAACAAATCAAAGATTCAGATTAACTAAATTGGGTATTATAGATTTTGAACTACAAATTGTATGATTCAAAACTTACGATTGGAAAACGAGCAGATGACGTGAATCAGTTTGACCGAAGAATGGGATCAACCAGATCTGATTTTGGGCTAAAATATTCGGTGAACAGTAATGGATTAAGTCAATGTATTGAGCTTTCAAATTATATATTTAAATAGTGACATGGACGAAAAAGACTGGGCTTAATTAAAACAAACTGGGTTTGAAGAATGGTTTTCACTCCGATCCAACAGAGAAAAAATCAATCAACAGCAGCATGAAAAATAAGAACACAATCACAAAAAAAAAAAAAAAAAAAAAAAAAAAATGAGACTCAACAAAAAATATTGAATCTTGAATCTGTTATATCAAGTAACAATAGCATATGTTTCATCATAATCGATTCATCATGAGATGATGCATCATATTTTTTTTAATAAGCATGTTTGGAGTATTCAAAGTGGGACTACGATTTGGTAGTTCCCCTAATTTGGAATGAAGGTTAAATCCAACGAGAACAACAAAATGAGCAGGCTCTAAGCCCAAACATTTTTTTTTTTAAATGGAAAACTAACTAATCTAGTCCTAAATAACCATCTATATCTCTATCAAGACTTGAACTCTTGACCTCTCAAATGAGATGGTCACTCAATACCTTTCTTCAATATTGGTTTAGAGTACTTACAATTAATGATATGGCTTTAGTTTATTGATGGGAGAATGCTTAAAAACATGATGAAATGAGCTTTGTAATAATCTTCTTGAGCAGTATGTGATTAAATTATGGTTAATATGTTGAAATTGGAAAAAATGGTCATAAATTATAAATTCTGGAAAGATTTGATATAATGAAATTAAGCACTTGTGTTAATGAATTAAGTCACATGTGTGACTTGTACATGGAGTATAATCAAATTTAATGTAGTGATTAAGGTGTTGTTTGTTTTGGAAGTGGTCAAATGTCTTTTGTATTTTTCCATGTTTGAAGAAGAAGACGTGTACTAAAAGTCTTTTTTATGTATTCATACCAAAAATCTTAATGTAAAAAGATTGTTTGTTTTTAAATTAGAATGAACTAAAACTTAAGAGAACTTGTAATAAAGGAGATCAATTAACCATATTTTTTTCTCATATTAAAATATGAATAATTCATGTTAGTTTTTAATAAATTGAAAAACCTAACCATTTAATAATATTTCAATTTAATAGATTTATAGTATTTTGTAAAAAAATATTAGATAATATGAAAAAGCAACATAAAAAAACACATTAGATTTTTTCTTAATAAGAATTGTATACTTACACGCTGTCACACGATTTACATTAATTTCTATTGTTCAACAACAAAACCGATCTTTGAAATTAATGTTGAAATAACCAAATCCCAAATGCTAAAAACTCAGGATCTCATATTATACTAATCTATTAAAATTTATAATTGACTCAAACTTTGCCAATAACAATTTCATATAGTTTCAAACATATAATACTTTTTAAAACATTAAATACACTATATATATTTCGATTCAAACCAGAAGGCCGTATACTTATTGAAGTTGATATTTTTAAAAAGATAAACGATTGTTTCGATGATTGTCTTACAATAGTAAAACTAAATTCACAAAATTAACATATTTTTTATGAAATCATTCATTCGACATTTCGTATTAACTGGTTAGCAATTTGATCTCGTAGATGAACCATGAATTCCCGGTCTCTTGCATTTCCATGTGGTTGTACCTCATCCACGTCCTCCTCCCCCTCCTCCTCCTCCTCATCATCATCATCATCATCATCATCATCTTGTACATTTTTGCTTTGAAGTGATATATCGACTTGATTAAATTGAGAAAAACACTCATAACTTAATTTCTATTTTATTATATAATTATGAAGCACAAAACATGCAATAACGATGTTTCTTTGTGTAACCAATGGAAATGGAGTCATTCTCTTCAATATAGGGAAACATGCTTTGAAGACACCAAAAGCACGCTCAATGAAATTTCGAAGCTTTGCATGTGAGTGATTAAAATTTTCTTTGTTGGTTAATGCACGTCTTCGATGAAAATCTCCAAGCCAATACCGTACATTACGATAAGGAGCCATAAATCCTCGGGTGTGTATAGACGCATCATCACAAAGATAATACTCATCTGTAAATATAAGGAAATAATTAATTTAAAAAAAATAGAAATATTAAAATGAAAATGTAAACAAACCTGGCAGTGGAAATGGGAATGGTGCATCTCGATCTGTTAAAGCTTCAGATAATATTCTTGAATTATGTGATATCCCTTCCCAACCAGCCACGAAAAACATAAAAATCAGGTTGAAGTCGCTTATTACCAATACATTTTGATAACAATCGCCTTTTCCCCTGCCTTTATACAAATTTTGTTTGTCGAGAGGGACAATAGCATGTACCAAAGTTCCATCAAGTGTGCCAACCGCTCCTTTGAAAATCCTTCGTAACCTCCTATTATGTCTCGAAACATTTGGATTGGGATTAAAGGAAGTTGGTACTATTATATCCTTTGTGAACACCATCATTTTATCCAATACTTCATAAAAATACTAATGGATCGTTTGTTTTGAGTGTTGAAATCTATGTTTGATGATTACATAACATTGATTATGACCAATTATCATCAAGAACATCATCATCTTCTCTTCAACTGATATATGTTTAGTATCCTTTAACCAACTTTTTACTCTAAAATGTGTGCAAAACCGAACATAAAAATCACGTGACATATGTAAGAGCTCAATGCATTGGTTATTAGTTCCTTGTAGTAACTTTAATGTGAATTGATGCCCAAACGTTTTTGAGGTATTATCTCGCATTCTTTTCAAACCTCTTCTCCAAGAAAAAAAGCGAAGATACAAATTGACAAACAATTAGGAGGCATAACTTTTTATCGTAATCCATTGTGAACCTGTTAAACCATCAACACTTGTTAGATCGCAATATGCTAAAGCAAAAAACATAAGCATTTGTATCATATTCAAAGCGCACATTATGTTTCAAATAAGCATATAATCTCAATACTAGCAATATTTGTGTCAAATAAGTACACAATCATTCAAATGATAGCAGAAAACATAATCTCAAACATAAGTTCAAGAAACACATAATTATTCAAAATGAAAGAAAAAACATAAGCATAAATAATACTTAAACATCCCTAATGTGGTTTCGGTCATCTTTATCCATCCTTTTAAGACCTCAGGTATCGGTAACAATGTCATCCATGCTTCTCTCATATTCATGGACATTCCAAAAAGGTGAAAGGCTACAAAAAATATAGGATCCATTGGGTCTAATCCAACTAGCTTCAACCTCTCATAATATTCTTCTACTGTTGGCTCTTCCTTGCTATTCACCAAATGTTGCAGAGCGTTTTGCATATCAAGATTCAACTCATCAAGATTAACAGAGGTTTTAGAGGCTTTATCCCTATCAGTCCTATCAATAGAAGTGTAACTGGTTTTAGTCCTTTTATCAAGCCTATCAATAGAAGCATCACTGGTTTTAGCCATTTTATCGGGCCTATCAGTAGAAGCATCACTGGTTTTTGCCCTTTTATCGGGCCTATAAGTAGAACCACCATGAGCTTTATCAATAGGAGCTCGAGCACTATTGTCATTGGAAGCGTCATCATCATCTTCTTCTTCTATGCCATTAAAAGGGTTGTCATTATTCAGAAGTCTTTGGACACACTGAGAAGAAGATGATGTATCTGCGGGTGTAGTTTGAGTAGAGGTCCATTTAATGCTACTGCTGGCACTACATCCATCAAACAAAGATGCATAAAGGTTGGGATAAGGTAATGGGTGTGTCCTTAATGATCCTTCCTTTCGATGACCCTAAACCAAGATTAATAGTAGTTATAAGTATTTTGAAATCATTATTAAAATTGGACATAAACTAAAATAATTAAATTATATAGACACACCTTCTTAAATTCTTCCCATTCTGTGTTCACCAAGGCAAATGAATTTGTTTGAGCATTGTATAAATTCCATGACTTGTTTCTCAAATATATCCACCCTACGTATTTAGCTTTTAGATTATCAAGAGCATTTTTCAATTGTTTTTGTGAAGTATCCATGTCAAACTTTTCTTTTAGAGCTTTCCCTATCGTAACCCAAGATTCCTTGTGCATGCTACCTCCTTTTCTACCAATTATGTTGACCTCTTTGATGTGTGTGAAACAAACTAAGTTTTATCCTACTTTTTAATTATGAATTAGACACAAAAGACAGTGTACCTATGAATTGTGGTATAGTTAGATAAGTAGGGTATTGAATTCAGGGAACGAAAATTAAACTAACCACTAGTATCATCTAAGAACAAGTAATAGAAATTAGGGTTTTCTCTAGTTTTAGAAGACTAGAAACTTAAATATTTAACGAAGACTTAAAGTAAATAACTAAAAGCAAAAGCAACAAAATCACTAAATTCAATAATTAAGGAGACTTCTGTTTAGGTTTAAATCTTTTCTCCTATGGTTGATTTTATGGTAAATGTTTTGGATTAAGTTTAATTGGCTACCGATTAAGATGATTAGGTTCACGTTTGCTATTGCTAATCCTCAAAAAATAGATTAATTCAAGCAGTGGCCAGTTGTCTAAATTAATGAATTTCCTAGTTTATTAATTCGGCTTAAGTAAGACTTGTAATGGTTAATCAAATTGGTCGTTCAATTAACCTCTTGATGATGGTTCGTCATACAAGCTCACACATTTTCTTACCTATTTTCTAGTTAACCCTAGTTTCACGTTCGCTATTCCTAGGCATATAACTATGTTTTCACATAAATCATATGAGATTAGCAACTAAGAGATGTTCATGCAACTTAATTACTGATTTATTAACAGAAAATAGTTCTTGTTAACACATAAGGTTCTTTAACAAGCTTAACAAAACAATATTACCAAATCAAATTAATCCTAACCATAAAATCAATTCATAATCACAAAATCATCTACCCTAAATAGAAGATAAGGGTTTTAGTTCATAATTACAATAAAATCAAACTCAAAAACAAATTCAATTAGTTCAAACATGATTCAATCAAAAGATTAAATAAGAATAAACTAGAATTTGCCTTAATCCTCTTCAAAATCAAATGTAGGGTTGATTCTTCACTTTCCCGAGCTTTCACAGTGTTCTCAATCGCAACTTAGCCTCCTAGGGTTCTACAGAAGTCTTTGGTCTCGGTCTCAAAGTCCCTATTTATAGTTTACTGGAAATAGAGTTGACTCGTCGAGTCCAGGTTCTAACTCGCCGAGTCCCTCATTAAAAATCAGTGTACGACAAGGAATTCTATGGCTTCGCGAACCTTCGATCCGACTCGTCGAGTCAGGCATTGGCTCACTGAGTTCTTCTTGTTTTTGACACTTTTCTTCTTTAGTTCAATTCCCGAACATCCGATTGTATCTCCTGCTTCCTTTTGCTTCCAAGCACATCTTTTGGACTGAATATACAATTTAAACATAATTAAGTACCTTTTGTCCATTAATTGCAATAAATTAGCCAATAAATAATAAAATTCCATACGAAATAAATAGCTAAATATGCACATATCACGTATCTAATAAACATTTTACTTGCTAGTTAGACCATTGTAGTTTGTCTCCCATTTAGACAAACTATATATAATAACTTTTATAAATCATGTCTATGAAAGAATCTGTGACAACCCAAAATTTATTCCGTCATTATAATCTGTTTCCGTTAATGGAATATTCTATTTTATAAAAGTTCCGTTAATTTGGGGTTGACAAATAAATAAATGTTTTATTTATTTATATTTTATGTTATTATCGTCGTAATAAAATAAATAGAAACACGTAAATTACATTTCCATTTAATTGGAAAAAGTTTATTTTATTACGACCATTTAACCGGGTAAAAAGTTTAAACATCGTTAAACATAAGTATCTGGTAGTCGTATACCGGGTATAACACCCAAGCCCTATATAAGGGTGGGTGGACACTCCATAGAACTTTTTACACTCTAGACACACTTTCTCTCTCTACTCTCTCTCCTCAAGTCCGATTTCATCCAAAAACCGCAAGTTTCCACCTCCAAAACGTAAGTTCTCTTACCCTAACTTGTTCTAAACATCATTTCTTATTATTATGGCTAAAAAACCATTCAAGAAAGCCAAGAAAAAGGAGTTCATGGCCTAAGAACCTCCTTAGGCCGTAAACACCTAAAATGGTGCAAAAAATGCCCAAGTTCTTCCCTTTAAGCTTAGAAACTAGTTTTGGACCTAACCTAGAAGTGTTTGAACCTTGAATCAACAAGTTTTAGGGCTTGAAAGAGGGTTTATGGTCCAAGCACATGCTTAGACCATAAACACCCTCTAAGTATGCAAATCAAGCCCACAACACTTCCAAAACACATTTAGGCTTAAGATATGGCTTAGGGACTTGCTATTTCGGACTTGGAGAACCTAAACATCAACATTTGAAGGGTAAAATAGAGTTTATGGCCCAAGCATATGCTTAGACCATAAACTCCCCTAAAACATGCAAAAAGAAGCTTTAAACCCCTAAAAAGCCTTACACCCTCACTAGAACTTGTTAAGAATGAGTCAAGGACCTTGAAATCAAAGAATTGAAGGTGTCCAAGAGTTTACTACCGTAAACCATGGGGTTTACGGCCGTAAACTCCCAAGGAGTGGTCCTTGGACCGTAAACTCCAAGGGAGTACCCTCCTTTAACCTTAAACACCCCTATAGCCTTGTATATTGCCTTAGAATCATTACTAGAACCATAAGAGGCTTGAAAACACTCAATTACACTCCTCCCATGAGTTTACGGCCGTAAACTCATGGGTGATGTGGTCTCTAACCGTAAACTCACTTAAGGTGAGTTTTGGAAGAGTAAACTCCATGGTGAGGTCTTATACTCTTTCCTTGCAACCCATTAGCTTTCTAGCACTCAACCATAGAACTTGTATTCGCACTAGGATGTCATTATGTGTTTAATTAGAGATTGAATCACTAATTACTTGTAAACATATGTCTCCATATGTTACTAGAGTCCTAAAGGGTGTTCAAGTCTTTACTTGACACTAAACGCTCATCCGACACTTCCACACGATCAACTCATTGCAGGTGAGTTCATACCCCTTAATGAACCTTTCTAAATGTTTTTACATGTTTTAGGGGGGGGGGGATACAAGTACAATACTACAAGTTTTATTATCAAATCATATGTGATTTACAATTTATCATCAAAAAGAGATTTCTCTACATTTATAGATACTTATCAATAATATTGTGTTAACTAATCATCAAATGCATTTTCAAGGTTAAATTTTTATTAAACTATTTTCAAAACTATGCTTCAACTACTTTGTTGATTAAAATATATCTACACTAATATATTTTTATAAGCAAGACTTGAAGGACTTAGGACCTATAGCTCGCCTTATTTCCTGTTCTTGTTTGATGTGGTCTTAGGGTATTGGTTGTCCGTCCGACTGTCGTTGATTTCTTAATTATATATCATATATATATTTGTGTTATATATGAAATTTCTCATCTTAATCATTACCTTTGTTGATCAGAGGCAGAAATTCTCACACTCTAGTTAACTATAATAGGTATAGTTAAGACTACCGCTCGTTACCTCTACTATTACTACTATACTCACTATAACAGTTAATATTACAAGTTAATGCAAGTATAAGAGAACACTCTACTTACTATACTGAAAGTCTACAATACAAAAGCATAAGAGAATTCACTAATACAAAGTACAACACACTATCCCTCTATAAGGCACTCTACCGCGCTTACACCATGTGACCAGGGCTTCCCGGAAGGAAGGCAACACTACATGTATAGATCTATACGGGACTGACACTATTACATCTCGACTGTTAACTACAGTCCGAGCCGACTAGGCCCAGGGATGGCACTACATCACTTCACTAAGAATGACTAGGAAGGTTATCAGACACTTTACTATCATACAGTTGGTCACATGAAGGGTTACACTATATCCAAACAAATACACTAAGACTTAAAGTCTAAGCTAATATCCCGAAGTAATTAAAGATCTATTACTAACTAAAGTTACACCACTACTACTGTTAGCAGGCATAAGATTTCTTCAACTATGTTACTCACATGAGATTTATTACTATATTTTTACAATTGAAGGTTTCAAAGATAATACTTTTACACACTCAAAGGATTGACTTACAAATGTACCTTTCTGGAAAATATAGGATTTTCTAGGGATTTCTACTACTCATAAACATAAGTTTCAATTTTTGTATTACATGTTCGTAAAACTCTTTACACAAACAACGGCACTAAAATCTTATGAACTCACCAGCTTTATGGTGATACTCATTTTCAAAATAACTTGTATCCTCAGGTCAAAGATAGACAGGTACTGGTGCAGCTTTTGGAGAAGATGGAGCACATACAAGACCCATCTTTTATTTTGTTGTACTTTTAGTGTCTATTAAGCTATATAGAACACAGTTGTAATTATTATCACTATATTAATGAAATGGTTGTTGTTTCTTGTTTTTACTATTATGTAATTGTAATGATACTGTACATGACGTCCTCCACCCCAAAATGTATTCCGCCGTTTTCGGTTTTGGGTTGTGAAAGAATCGACTTAAAAAAAACTAAAAATAAAGAACTTCATGATTCATATTTATGGATTACAACATGTTAGACAACCAACATAAAATATAAACATTGAATGCAAATGAATTGTAACATCCCAAAAATACGGGCCAAAAATTTCGTTTTTAATTAAGCGATTTGAAAAAGCGTTTGTAACAAAATATCATACGATCATAATATTTGATAAAACATGTCTCGTGGCCGTAAACCAAAAGATAAAACATGAAAATGTCAGAGTACAAAATCCCAGAATGACTCTTGGTGCGGAAATCAAGAGAGCGTGTGTGATGCGCCGCTACCGCGCCAACTCCTTCCCCTTGACAGAAGAGGTACTTGAAACAACAACTGAAAACCGTAAGCACGAAGCTTAGTGAGTTCCCCCACTGTACCACATACCATATAATCACATAGCATACATACTGCCAGGTAATTCTGGGGTGCCCGACCTACCCGGTACGACCATTCTGGGATGCCGACCTACCCGTGTTAAGCCATTGTG